TAGCGGATTCACCCCCCTGTTGTTGTTATTGCAGGCTGTTCCATCTACTGCCAGCATTCCTGCTTCCACACTAACTCACTGCTTGTGAGCTGTTCGATTTAGCGGATTCACCCCCCTGTTGTTGTTATTGCAGGCTGTTCCATCTACCGCCAGCATTCCTGCTTCCACACTAACTCACTGCTTGTGAGCTGTTCGATTTAGCGGACTAACCCCCCTGTTGTTGTTATTGCAGGCTGTTCCATCTACTGCCAGCATTCCTGCTTCCACACTAACTCACTGCTTGTGAGCTGTTCGATTTAGCGGACTCACCCCCTTGTTGTTGTTATTGCAGGCTGTTCCATCTACCGCCGGCATTCCTGCTTGCACCGCCGCAGGCGTTCTGCTGCGCTCTGCCGGCCCTCGCTAACCTTGACCCGGAGACAAGCGTGGAGAGGACGACCGTGGTGTTGACGATACTTAGCTCTGAGCAGCTGACAGTGAGCGTGAAGGTGAGGGTATGACCGTGGTGTTGACGATGTTTAGTAGAGGTAAGGGTATGATCGTGGTGTTGACGATGTTTAGTAGAGGTGAGGGTATGACCGTGGTGTTGACGATGTTTAGTAGAGGTGAGGGTATGACCGTGATGTTGACGATACCTGATTGCTTGCAGGGTGCCGGACCTCCCCCCATCTTGGAGATTTGGGTCGATCCGCCGACATCGGACAAATCAGCGCCCTCTATGTTCAGCGAGCTCGTGTCTGCAGGCGTCGGGATGCTGAAGAACCCGAGCCAGAGGTGATGACGAGGCAGACGTTGCCATGACAACGCAATGGCATCGCGTTCACAGGCGTGGGTGCGTGCGTGCGTGCATGTGTGTGCGTGCGTGCGTGCGTGTGCGTGGTTGTGTGCGCGCGTTCGTGCGTGCGTGTTTCTGTTTCCGTTTTTGTTTACCAGTATATTGAGATGCTAGAATTCACTTCGATGTACAGAGAGCTTTGCGCGTGAAATCTCGCGCGCGGGCGCTACCGCCGACAGTATCCGTGAATATAGAATAGTCTGTAATGTAACATTACGAATAGACAGCCGGAGTAAATCGGCAATAGTTATGCAAGGAATTCTGCATTCTTTCCTCTTTTGTTTCGTCGTCATCTACGAGAATATTCTTGTTATTGTGCGGAGTATCGTGAGAATTAATAAATATACGCGGAATTTTGTCGTGAGTGAAAGAATTAATAAATCTTATCGTTTATTTCCAAACGCTTTTTCGTCTTTATACAGATCTTTGTCTTGTACTCTGTGTGTGTGCGTGCGTGCGTGTGTGTGCGTGTGTGTGTGCGCGTGCGTGTTTTATCTACTACCATTAACTGACTAAAAATAGCAAAAACAAACTAGTTTTAGCAGATACTGTTCTGTGAATTTTGGATTAAAGTTAATATTATTTGTTATTTGTTATTATTTGTAAAGATTTGGAACAAGGAGAATGTGTTGCTTAATGGTTTCCCTTAATGGGTTGGAAGCTGAAGAAGATCTTTCATGTCACCAGCTCAACAAGTACTATTAGCAAGAAATTTATAGGGAAAGAAAGGATTGCTCTCATTGAATTAGGGTTTAAAACAACTATATTTACTTTATATATGAATCTAAGGTATATATGATGACTCTAAAATGCTAAAACTACTTGTCACAGATTGTACTTTAAAAAAACATGTCCTTGAAAATGATCTTGAAAAGTCTGAAAAAATAAATCACACATTTGTGGAAACCATATATACTGATGTACCTAACAGAGAGAGAGAGAGAGAGAGAAAGCGTGTGTGTATGTGTGTGTGAGCGTGCGTGCGTGTGTGAGTAGAGAAATATTGCCAGAGAGACAGAGAAAAAGAGAGAGAGAGAAGGGGAGAGGGTGAGCGGGAAGGCGAGAGAAGTAACTATATTAGAAGGAATATGATGTGCATTCATCCCTGTGTGTGTGCGTGCGTGCGCGAGAAGGGAGTAAGGAAGTGAGCAAGGGAAAGAAACGGAGAAAGACGAGTGGAGTAAAAAATTCATATTCACATTTTGTGCTTTGGGGAGGGTGAAAAAGTTTTGACTGAAAAATGATATGTAGTTCATCTATTAACCTAGAGATGGCGCTTTCACAACTTTCTAAAATGGCGTCAATTTCGTTGGTTCCCGGCCGCGCCTTTCCGTTTTACACCGCAGCCTAGGCAAACCGACTGGTGAACCAATCAGAGTCTGGTGAACCAATCATTTTCTTTCCCACTTGAGTTCCGGACCCTAACCCTAACCCTAACCCTAACCCTAAACTCATCCAGAAAATCTCCCATATATTTGGCGTAATGATGTGTGCAGAGGAACAATTCAAGCTCTCTAACCAATTAAAGTTATAGTGCTCCAAATACAATTTGATATTAGCTAAAGACTAACCGCAGTTTGTAAGCATATACAACACAAGCCTTCTCCCGACATACGCGTATAACTTCGAACCTCGTGCTCACATTGGTGTGGACATATATAAACAGGAATAAATTATCTACCAAGATGATTACCGCACCAGTTAATCGGCTGTGCATGATAGTCATAATACTATGGGCAAAAAAATGTGATTTTTGACCAATTTTTCCCCAACACTAGAATTTGCGGAAAAAACACATTATTCTCTCCATATTTTCAAACACTCCCCGCCTACCCTGTAACATCGTCGGCTTTTGCAACCTTGCGGGAACGTGCCTTCAGCACGCCTTGAAGACTAGTGTTTGAAAAAACGACTTGCACTTCGCCTCATAAGCTTAAACATGATTCAGACTCCCACTTGAACAGTTTATCAGCCTCGCACGGAACAGAAGATCCTTTCCAAGAATCACTTGTTAGCAACCAAACTCAATTTTCTGTCCAATCTTCCGTGGAGGATGTCAGACATTCTTCACCAGGTTATTTACTTACACAGCGAGAAGCTGCACTTGGAGGAGTACGACATCTCTCTGAACACTCACGAATGCTATCTCTACCTCAGCACAGCCGGGCACCTACACGCATACTGGCAGCGGTCTTTGCCTCCCCTATCTGGCTTGACGTGACAGCAAGCTACTTACCGTAAACAGCCCCAGATGTCACATGAAGCACTAATACAGTGCACGTGTGCGGGAGCCAGAGCAAGATGGCAAAGCATAAATTAGTCTCTCCTGACATGCTTCTGGAACAAGACTAATACAATGCAATGCGCCAAGAAGCGAGTGCTCGGATGCCTTACACTAAACACTCTGGCCACACTACGGATAAACTGTTTACACAAAGACCCAGCACATCGATCTGCTGCCGTCTCTGCAGAGTGAGAATTGCATGGCACAGTTCTCATTCATCCAGTCCCACCAATGTAAGCATGGTGTAAGTCGAGTCACAAGGGATGCCGAGAATGGGATCAATCGTAATGGCAACATCGAGACGAATCCAATTGCTGGCAACCACAACATCCCTCGATAAAATACTAGCCACCTAGGACAATGCGCTGATGGCAAACGTTAAGAACAACCTCTACCAGTGTGAACAAACACGGATCCGGAGGACTGCTCAGCACTGACACAGTGATCAGAAGAAGCCAATACTGAAGCGCTGAATATAGCACCTTCCACCACCCACAATAACAGTGCAGAAACGCGAAAAGGTCTGCGCTAAGAACAGCTGCAGTTGGGAACGAGTAAGAAAAACTGCCCTTCCGCGTATGACACAGATCATTGCCAGGGGATGACAGACCAGTTGACTATTATAGGAACCAGGAATGCAGTGACTGAACCGCACCATGCTCTCTTCCAGCAAGATGGCAGAATAAGAACAGGTACCGCGTAAGTCAACGACAGTGAAAACCTTGAAAGAGGAGACCAACTGACCAGCACTCCTGCTCTGCCCAACATAATCAGAAAGACAGCAGACATTTACCAATCGTAATCCATTCTGACACTGGTCCTTCCACATCAAGGTGAAAGATTGTGGCCCATTCGAATGAACAAATACCTGAATGATGTGCTGCCTGGACTGAGTCATCACGTTCTGTTGTGAAACAGTACATATCGCCACAGCGCTGAGGTCCGCTGAGCACGAACACAGATGCCCGATCAAAACCTGCCAAAAAATATAAGCAATGACCATACAGCAGCTCCCTGACCCCACAAACTATTGCAGTGACAGCCACACAGGCCTAACCTACCTAAACTTCCTCTGTGAGAAAATGTGTGAAATAAGCATCTGCTACCCTGCTTGGTCCTAGTACTCAGCATCGCTACCATGGTGGTGAGTCTACAGAAAGAGACGAAAGCGTATAACCCAAGAGAGTCTGTACGATTTCCTGCCTAATGAAGCAGAGCGCAGAAGGAGCTGCATCCAAGGATATATTCCCTGTGCAACACTTCTGTACATTGCTTCGCAGACTGAAACGGCAGTGAAAGATAGTTACACCGCCACTGACCCAGACATTTATTATCCTTATGTGTCCTACACCTAGGAGCAACACACCTGAGACGATCTACCAGACTAGGGTGAAGACAGCCCACGAAAATACCCATAACTGAGATCCATGAAAGGTCGGTGACACTGGGAAACTTCACAGTGTCTGGCATCCCTTCATCATCAGCTCGAGTGCAGAGACACTTACATGAGTAATCCTTATCCCGGCAAGAAGCATGGCTTCAACTAGTGCAGCCTTGCTGTCTGACTATCCCATGAGTGACAGAAAGTTTGAGGAAACCCTACTGACATCGCTATCCCAGAAGGACGCTCGCTCAATGCAGGCAAGGACCACACCCAACATCTGTACCCCATCAGTGTTCGGATGACTTCCTAAGGAGTTGATTCTGCGCAAGCCTCAGGCATCACAATTGTTAACAATCAGATTTACTCCCGCTAAAAGCTACTGCCCCCCCAGCAGAAAGACCTTGCCTACTGCACGTAAAGGAGCGCCTGCCTTGCGAACGATCATCAGATCACCAGACGCGCACATTCTAAGCGCCAACAAATCCCAGCCCTGGCACAGAATCATGTGACTGGATCTCTGGGATAGGTCAGCATAATGTTCTGCCGTTCACCTGTACGTTTGGCACCCAGCCTGCCTGTGTGGCGACGGAAGACAGGCAACATATCGTGGCGGCCGAATCGTGCTAAGGGGGTGCCAATAAGCAACTGCTCATCTAGTGCTAAGAAGACACGTCCCATTGCTACAAGGCGGCCAGCTGCCTAAGACTATCAATCAAATGTAGCAGATGCAGGACAATTCGGAACAACCGAGGTCAGTGACAGTTACGCAGCACGATCAGGACTAGTGAATAAGAAGAAAAAGCCGTATGCAAGTTCAAGACGTAAGTAAAGCGTGAACTTAGGAGCAATAATAATTGTTGTTAAAAAAGCAATGAACTTCCCTGATTTACTAACACTACTTGACATACCTATGGGCCAATGCATGGCAAGTTACTAGAAAGTTCAAATTCTTAGTGGAAAGATTTTTGAAACTATGGCAGAAAAATAGTATTTTTGTGCACTCATATTGGGGAAAAAATGTCAAAAATCTCATTTTGGCTCAAAATTTATGACAAATCACAGCCAAGTCCAATTCACCGACCCCCACACACACAATTCCCTTAAACCTCTCGGCCCCGTTTCTGCTCGTTTGTGGCGGGTGAACCCACACACATGAGAAACGAGGTTTCGCAAGACCCGACGCAAGATACGTATATCGGAGAAGCTTGTGTAATGGTACAAAATGCTGTTTTAAAGCTAATATCAAATTCAAGTTGGAGCACATAACTTTACTTGTTAGAAAACATGACCTTCGCTCTCACACAAAGATTAACCATATACGATTGCAGTTTCTCTGGAAAGTTTCAACATGCATTATCTGAACAAGTTTTTGAAAATATGGCGAAAAAATGTATTGTGGCAAATCATATTTGGAAAAATGGAAAAAAATCACATTTTGCCGCAAAATTGTTACGAATCACACGCATGCCCAGAAATTGTATCGATCTATAGAGAATTAATTCCCGTTAATATGATACCACACACCCTGGGCCTTCAGTGTGAAAGAGGTTCATCAAACATTATCTGCCAAAAATTGTTAATATTATAGAACCTGGTGGCCATCTTTGAAAAAGCCGCCTTTTTTCAGACAGCATATTTCAAGGGTAGTCACCACGAAGTTGATCAGCGGAGGTCCCCTGAAACATGTTGATCCAACAACCTTTTACAACACCCCATGGCTGGTAAACCTCGTGCCCCCTGGTAACAACT